GAACTGTGTGTTGCTACACAGTCATGAGTCAGCAGTGTGAACAGCAGAGGACTGAGCACACAGCCTTGTGGGGCCCCAGTGCTCAGTGTGGTGGTGCTGGAGGTGCAGTTCCCGATCCGTACTGACTGAGGCCTTCCGGTCAGAAAGTCCAGGACCCAGTTGCAGAGGGAGGTGTTCAGGCCTAACAGGCTCAGCTTTCCGATCAGTTGTTGGGGGATGATCGTGTTAAATGCTGAGCTGAAATCTATGTACAGCATTCGGACGTGTGAGTCCTTCTTGTCCAAGTGTGTCAGGGCAAGATGGAGTGCAGTGGAGATGGCGTCGTCCGTTGAGCGGTTATGGCGGTATGCAAATTGCATTGGGTCCAGTGAGGGGGGCAGCAGGGTCTTGATGTGTCTCATGACGAGCCGTTCGAAGCACTTCATGATGGTGGGTGTAAGTGCGATAGGGCGGTAGTCATTGAGACAGGACACAGAAGACTTCTTGGGCACGGGGACGATGGTGGTGGCCTTGAAGCACGTGGGGACAACGGCACTGCTCAGAGAGATGTTGAAGATGTCGGTGAGAACATTTGCCAGCTGATCAGCACATTCTCTGAGCACTCTGCCTGGGATGTTGTCTGGTCCAGCAGCTTTACGTGGATTGACTCTGCGTAGAGTTTTCCTCACCTCAGCTGTAGTGAGACACAGGACCTGGTCGTTCGGAGGAGGGGTGGTCTTCCTTGCCGCCACGTCGTTCTGCCTGTCGAACCGAGCATAGAAGTTGTTAAGCACATCTGGGAGGGAGCCGTCACTGTCACAGGCAGGTGGTGTCGTCCTGTAGTTAGCGATGGCTTGTAAGCCCTGCCACATGCGTCGTGTGTCGCCGCTGTCCTTGAAGTGGTTGTGGATTCTCTGGGCGTGTGCGCGCTTCGCCTCTCTGATGGCCCGAGAAAGTTCAGCCCTCGCTCTTCTAAGCGCCACCTTATCTCCCTCTTTGAAGGCAGAGTCTCGGGTCCTTAGAAGTGCACGCACTTCCGCAGTAATCCACGGTTTCTGGTTGGGTCGTGAGATGATGATCTTGGAGACAGTGACGTCATCGGTGCACTTGTTGATATAGCTGGACACTGATGATGTGTACTCCTCCAAGTCAGTGAAGTCGCCGTAAGTTGCAGCCTCTCTAAACATGTTCCAGTCAGTGCTCTCAAAACAGTCCTGAAGAGCAGAGATGGCTCCTGCTGGCCAGGTTTTCACCTGCTTCAGAACCGGTTTTGATCGCCTGACGAGTGGTCTGTATGCTGGAATTAGCATAACAGAGATGTGGTCTGAGTAGCCGAGGTGGGGGCTGGGCTCTGCCCGATATGCGCCAGGGATGTTTGTGTAAACAAGATCCAGCGTGTTTTCTCCCCTCGTTGCAAAGTCCACATACTCATGGAATCTAGGAAGCACTGACTTGAGATTTGCATGGTTGAAGTCCCCAGCAACAATAAACAGTCCATCCGGGTGTGTATTTTGCAGTTCACTGATCTTTGTTATACAATTCCCATAGCGCTTCCTTAGCATTAGCGCTAGGTGGAATGTACACTCCGATAATGAAAACAGTGGTGAATTCCCGTGGTAAGTAAAAAGGTCTGCATCTAACAGTCACAAACTCCACCAGCGATGAGCAATAACTAGAGACTAGCACAGAGTTCTTGCACCATTTCTCGTTGATGTAAACACACAAGCCGCCACCGCGAGTCTTACCGCACAGAGCTGCATTTCTGTCGGCGCGAAACGAGGCCAGCCCGTTTAGCTGAATAGCGGCGTCCGGTACTCTTTCGCTGAGCCATGTTTCCGTGAAAACAAAGACACAGCAGTCTCTAATCTCACGCTGTGTGGCCTGCTGGAGTCGGATGTAATCCAGTTTGTTATCCAGGGAGCAGACGTTGGATAAGATGATGGACGGTAGAGCCGGCCGGCTAGGGTTTGTTTTTAGCCTAGCACAGACTCCCGCCCGCTGCCGCGCTTCCGCTTCCTCGCGCAACGCTTCCGATGTCTCCACCTCCGTCCGCCGGCATCAGGCAACGCCGAGGCTTCGAGGCCTGGTTCGCGGAGCAAGCCGAGTTCACGCAGCGTTTCCCGCAGCCCCTCCTGGATGTCGTCAACTAGGTTATTTAGGTTGAAAAGTGTCTGGCTGTTGTATGTATGCGCATATTCAGCAGATATGTAGGACTGCTTTCTTCCTTGACTACTGTACTTCATTATTATTGGGATGTCCTAAAAAATCCCTGCCTTAAATTAATTGGCAATTAAATGCTGCAGCAAGAGTACTGACAGGGACTAGAAAGAGAGAGCATATCTCTCGTATATTGGCATCTCTTCATTGGCTCTCTGTTAAATCCGAAATCTAATTTAAAATCCTGTTCCTCACATACAGGGTCTTAAACAGTCAGGCCACATCTTATCTTAACAACCCTATAGTACCATATGGTACCTATTAGAGCACTTCACTCTCCGACTGCGGCCTTACTTGTTCCTAGAGTATTTAAAAGTACAATGGGAGCCAGAGCCTTCAGTTTTCAGGCCCCTCTTCTGTGGAACCAGCTTCCAGTTTGGATTCAGAAGACAGGCACCCTCTCTACTAATAAGATTAGGCTTAAAACTTTCTTTTTTGCTAAATCATATAGTTAGGGGCTGGAACAGGTAACCCTGAGTCTTCCCTTAATTATGCTGCAATAGGTGTAGGCTGCTGGGGGATTTCCATAATCCACTGAGTGTTTCTTCTTCAGTCACCTTTTTCACTCACTATGTGTTTATAGCTCTTTGCATTTTATCATTAGTTATTATTAATATCTGGCTCTCTTCCACATCATGTCTTTTATCCTGTCTTCATCCGCTCACCCCCAACTGGTTAGGGTTTAGGGTGGCTTCAGCAGATGGCAGCTCCTCCCTGAGCCTGCTTCTGCTGGAGGTTTCTTCCTGTTAAAAGTGGGTTTTTCCTTCCCACTGTCACCAAAGTGCTTGCTTATAGGGAGTCATTGTTGGGGATTTCTCTGTTTTCTTTGTATTATTGTAGGGTATTTAACTTAACTTAATATAAAGTGCCTTGAGGCAACTGTTGTTGTGATTTGGTGTTATATTAAAAAAAATGAATTTAACTGAACTGAAAACAATACTGCACTATAGCCTTGAAATTTCAAACTTCACACCCAGAATATCACCCACAAGCAACAGTTCCCAGTCTACTCCTGCTCACTCCAAAACTATCCTTCAGGACTGAAGTGAGTCCCCCAAAACTCTTACTCACCTCAGTCCTCAGATCTGGATTCAGAAGTTAAGTCACTGTTCCCCCACAGTCAGGTGTTCCAAAAATAATTATACATCAAAAAATTCGATTGGACCATATCATGGGTACATTTGTATTTTTACCTTTGTGGAACTGTAAATGAGGCAATGTGGCAATGTCCACATTTTAGACTTTTTTGAATGCAGGATATATTTTTAAATCCAATTTAACAGGAGGCAAGTATAAGCAGAATCTAATAATAATGACAATAATGAGAATAACAATAATAATGATAATAATCATCAAAAAATCATATCAGTTGAATTATACTTATCTAATTAACATACTCAGAACAAAGTCAGCATTACTTTTGCTCTTTCACAGTGATAATCTTCGAGAGGATGATGAGCATGCCTTTGCCACTGACTAAGGCAAATCTAGGTTCAAACTTTCATCTATTAGCTCATCTCCCAATCATAATGTCATTCATGCAGTGCCTTATCACCATATCAGTGCCTTAACTCTTTTCACATTTGCAAACCTCAATTCAATTGGATAAATATTGCAATGTTACCTTCAAAAGCAACCTAATTAGCTGGATAACCCCAGGTTGCTCTCCGATGCATGCATTGGAGTATAAATTTGTGTGAGTGCTTTGATACTTTCTGCTTGCAATTTCTTCTTTGCTTTAAGCAAGGGCCAGTGTCCCGCAGGTTTTAGATGCGTCCTTGATCCAACACAGCTGATTTAAATGGCTAAATTACCTCTTCAGCGTGTCTTGAAGTTCTCAAGATGTAATGAACTAATCCTTTGTTTCATTTGTGTTGGCCCAGGGTGATATCTAAAACCTGTAGGACACCGGCCCTTGAGGCCTGGAGTTGGACACCCCTGACATATACCATACCATAGCACCTTTATTTATAAAGCACTTTAAAATAAAGCCAGACTTCACAAAGTGTACATATACAAGAAGCATAAACAGAAAATAATATCAAACATGTTAAAAATAGAGAATTGGAAAAATAGGAAAAAAATTGATTCAACCTTTTAAAAAGTACCAAAGGCTTAAGCAAATAAATATGTTTTAAGAAGAGTTTTAAACTCCCCACAAAAATAGGAAAGTCAAGTGTGTCTGTGTGTGTGTGTGTGTGTGTGCTTCTACGGTTAAGGGGACACCTTCTCAGATGATAAAACATAGGTATGATCCTTCATGTCTTGAATCTGAAGGTGTAGGCACAAGTTAAAATTTGCCTCCATGCACGTGAATGCTTACAATTTCTTTTCTCTTTGGCTCTTGGCATGATACACGTGTGGTCAGTCTTTAGCCACATAAAACATGATGGAATAACAAAATCCATCTCAACCACTATATTCAAGATGGCAGGCCAACATGGCTGAAAGATCATTATACATTAAAATATACTGTATGTATGATTACAGTATTCTTTTTTTTTTCTATTAAACTAAAGAAAACTTTTGCTAGGTTTAAATATACTAAACTAATTTAAGGGAAAAAAACCCCCAGCTGATTCTGAGGCAGCCAGTTAGGAATGGATTGATATTTTTTTACATGAAACTGTTGTGGTAACAATTTTGATATTTTAACACTGTATAATTTTTTTAAATATCAAACATCCTTATTTGTAAATGAGCAGATACCTGTGAATTTCTGTGTAAGAACATGTAGCTCAGCTTGTTTGCACAAGTGATATCATGATTCATGAATTTGTCTGTTTCTACTCCACCATCACCAGGACTTAAGTACCTTCACTCTGCTGGAATTCTACATCGAGACATCAAACCTGGCAACCTCCTAGTCAACAGCAACTGTGTGCTCAAGGTGTGTGGGACAGGCAAGCATTAATCCTAACCCTATCTCTATGGCAAGGATTCTTTATGTGAGTTGTATGACAGGCATGTGACAGATAAAGAAATAAAAACTATGAATATTTATTGACAGTATAGATGATGATGTTTGTAGAGGAATGAAAAAAAAATCCAAAAAACAGATCACAGTTGATGGTAAAAATAAAATGGTAAATGGCCTGTATTTGTATAGCGCTTTACTAGTCCCTAAGGACCCCAAAGTGCTTTACACATCCATTCATCCACCCATTCACACACTGGTGATGGCAAGCTACATTGTAGCTACAGCCACCCCGGGGCAAACTGACAGAGGCAAGGCTGCCGAACACTGGCGCCACCGGACCCTCTGACCACCACCAGTAGGCAACGGGTGAAGTGTCTTGCCCAAGGACACAACGACCGAGACTGCCCAAGCCAGGGCTCGAACCGGCAACCTTCCGATTACAAGGCGAATTCCCAACTCTTGAGCCACGATCGCCCAGTTGATGCCTAAAAGAACAGACCAGAGGGAAAAACAAAGTAGAACTTGGACCACACAGCTCTTTCCTGATGCAAGAACCACAGGATCTTCCAGCCCACTTACAGCAAGTATCTAGACTTTGGGAAGAAGCCAGAGTACCCGGAGAGAAGCAGACACCATAAAGATGATGAATTCGAACGCAGCACCTTCTTGCTGTGAGGCAGTAATGCTGCCTCCTCATATTCTATTCTTTTTCAGTTGTCTCTTCATAGACAACCTTGTCTACCTCAAATAAGGATAGTTTAATTCAAGCTCCAACAGATCTTCTTCACAATGACCTATTATACGAAACGCTGGTTTTATCAAAGACCATGACCCGGTTGCCACAGAGATGCCACCTTAAGTTCCTGTTCCTGTTCACCACTAGGAGAACAGAAACTTAAGGTATCAAAATTACATGCAGTCCATAAAGTTGGACAGTTCTATCTGCTACCCAAACATTCTCGGTTTCATTTTTTCTCCTTTATCTTCACTCTTCCTGAAGTGACTTTTTAGGAATCCTAAAAGGTTGATTCTGTTCATCTGGATGTAGCATTTTCAGTGGGAGAAACGTTTCGTCACTGACCTGTAGTCAGCTGAGACTTCTTAAGTCTCAGCTGACTACAGGTTTCCCCAATCTTATAAACAGTATATTTGCACAGTGATTGAAACTAGCCCACTAAATGAACAATGGGCTGTGAAGTCAGTTCCTTGATCATTAATATCCAAGTTGTCATGACCATTGTTCAACAACCACTGATCAAAGCCCATATCAAAGACCACTGATCATTGAGCTCCATGGCTTTTAAACCTCAAAACACGCTGCGCTAAAAATTGGTCCACCCCAAGGATCGGGTCCCCTGACACAGAGTAATATAGAGTATGCTGTGAAGTGCCAGGAGGTTTGCCATGATGTATATCGGGGAAACCAAACAACCTCTGGCGAAGCGGATGGCACAACACAGAAGAAGTAACTCATCAGGCAAGGACTCGGCAGTCTATTTACACTTACAGGCCAGTGGACACTCTTTCAGTGATGAGGATGTACACATCCTGGACAGGGAGGAACGCTGGATTGAGTGGGGAGTCAAGGATGCCATTTACATGAAAAAGGAAAGACCATCTTTGAATCAAGGAGGGAGCCTAAGGGTACATCTTTCACCATCTTACAATGCTGTAATTGCAGCCAATCCCCATCATGACAATTTGCAAATTAATGATCAAGGAACTGACCTCACAGCCCATTGCTCATCAGTGGGCTAGTTTCAGTCATTGTGCAAAGGTACTGTCTATAAATTTGGGGAAACTGCAGTCAGCTGAGACTGAAGAAGTTACTTGTGACGAAACGTTCTCCCAAATGCTACGTCCAGATGAACAGAATCAACCTTTTGGGATTTACTTACCTGGTTGGTTGAGCATGCATCAAAACACTTTTCAGGAATCCTAACTCACTGCAAGTCATTGCAGTCTCCAGAGGTTGTTTAAAAAGTTAAAGATTAGGGCTTTGATTTGTAAGCAGTGAAAACCTTTCCAGCCCTTACTGCAAAAGGCAAAAGTTGCCAGCACCATCATTTCTTTTCTTCCTCATTAGCTCTTCTTTTCTCCATTTATACTTCCAGCAAGATGCCAGTTTCATTTTCCTCTGTCCGTCAAATGGCAGTGACTCTTTTTTTCTCTGTAGTTCTTTTTTTTTAACGTTTTTGGGTTCCCTTTTCTGGCACTGGGAAGTTTAGATTTTCTCTGTCCCACTTACTAATTTTGTTGGTTTACAGTTCCTGGCACTGAGTTGCCAGATACACGTTTCTTTGCCAGAAGACATCTCTTCGAATAAGAGATGTGTTATTCCTGGCTTCAACCTAGTGTACTTTTTCCAAAGTTTCCATGTTTCTATTTCATTTCTCACATCTATCGCTACCAGTGAATTAAAATGTGTATGGCAAAGGTCCTGTCCACCATCTTCACTCAGTCATTGTTAATTATTTAGAGTGGAACTTAGTTAGGGGTTTCTAACATGTTAGAGTTTATTCACTGTCAATTCAGTTTACAAAGATACAAGTTAATTGAGAGTATTTGAAGAAACTGCATGTGCTTTTCAGGGTAGAAAAAAGTATGATTTCAAACCTCAAAAGTAATCTTCTGTCATTATTTATTTGGGACCAAATAAGAAAAGTTAACCATTAATATACACACATAGACTATGAAATTATATGTTTATGCATGAGAAACAAAACATCAGTGAAACTCTACTACTGTCATGAATCGCTGTGTGGCAGGCAAGCAGGAGTGGTGGACCCAAAATGCAGAACTCAGACACGGAAGTGAAACTTAAGGCGCAGCTTTATTGCTGGGAAAAACCTCGTACAAACTAAACTCACCAAAAGAAAACCAAAAGTCAGAACAGAGGAACCAAGGACTGAAACACTGGAAAGAAACACTAAACTGGAGCAGGAGACCAAACACTAGGAACATAGAAGCAGAACACACAGCTAGTTGAGGGTACGACGCGACACTGACACAGAGAAACACAGGGCTTAAATACACAGACGGCAGTAATCAAGGGATGAGAGACAGGAGGGGAACACACCTGGGAGAAATCACAGCTGACGAGACAGGGGAAACGTAAACTGAGCACACTCACATATGACACAAACCTTCACAATAAAACAGGAAACTCAGACACATGGAACCAGACAAGACATTGAACTAAACAGACAGATTCACAAACAGATGGGGTGACACCATAGACAGAGACAGACTCAAAGGCAGACCAAATATAACACACAGAACTCAAACAATAATAATCATCATCATCATAAACTAGAAAATGATAACTAAAAGCGCTGGGTCACCGACCCAGGACCATGACAACTACAGTCATGGCCAAAAGTTTTGAGAATGACACAAATATTTGTTTTCACAAAGTTTGCTGCTTCAGTGTTTTTAGATCTTTGTGTCAGTTGTATCTGTGATGTACTTAAGTATAATTACAAACACTTCATAAGTTTCAAAGGCTTTTATTGACAATTACATCAAGTTCGTACAAAGAGTCAATATTTGCAGTGTTAGCTCTTATTTTCCAGACCTCTGCAATTCACCTTTGTATGCTATCAATCAACTTCTGGGCCAAATCCTGACTGATGCCAACTCATTCTTTCATAATCAATGCTTGGAGTTTGTCAGAATAAGTGGGTTTTTGTTTGTCCACCCGACTCTTGAGGATTGACCACAAGCTCTCAATTGGATTGAGGTCTGTGGAGTTTCCTGGCCATGAACCCAACATTTCAATATTTTGTTCTCCAAGCCACTTAGTTATCACTTTGGCCTTATGGCACTGTGCTCCATCAGGCTGGAAAAGGCATTGTTCTCCACCAAATTGTTCTTGGATGGTTGGAAGAAGTTGCTGTTGGAGGATGTTTTGGTACCATTCTTTATTCATGGCTGTGTTTTTTGGCAAAATTGTGAGTGAGCCCACTCCCTTGGATGAGAAGCAGCCCCACAGATGAATGTGTGCTTCACTGTTGGCATGAGACAAGACTGATGGTAGCACTCACCTTTTCTTCTGCGGACAATCCTTCTTCTTGATGCCCCAAACAATTGGAAAGAGGCTTTGTCAAAGAAAATGACTTTACCCCAGTCCTCAGCAGTCCACTTGCTGTATTTTTTGCAGAATATCAGTCTGTCCCTGATGGGGGTTTTTTTTGTTTTGGTTTTTTTTTAGAGAAGTGGCTTCTTTACTGCCCTTCTTGACACCAAGCCATCTTCCAAAGGTCTTCACCTCATTGTGCATGCAGATGCACTCACACCTGCCTGCTGCCATTCCTGAGCAAGCTCTGCACTGGTGAGCTTGCTGATTTAAGTGCAATCTTAATAGCAACAACGTCCTTGCATGTGAGCCCTTTTTATGTAACATAATGATGGCTGCACGTTTCTTTGCAGGTAACCATGGTTAAGAGGAAGGACAATGATTTCAAGCATCACCCTCCTTTTAACACATCCAGTCAGCTGTTCTAACTCAACCAGCATGACATAATGATCATAATGATTTCCAGCCTTGTGCTCATCAACTTTCTTATTTGAGTTAACAAGAAGATTATTGAAATGATCTCAGTAGGTCCTTTTGTGGCAGCGATGCAATGCAGTTGAAATGGGTTTTGGGCGATTAAGTTCATTTTCGTGGCAAAGAAGGACTTTGCTTCATAAAAACTGAAGCAGCAAACTTTGTGAAAACCATTATTTGTGTTATTCTCAAATCTTTTGGCCATGACTGTACATGCTGGAGCACAGTGGGTGAGGGAGGCAGAGAGGAGACAAGAAATCTTGGCAAGATTGATGGGTTTCAGAAGAAAGATGAATAAAAAGAAATCAGAAGATAAAAAGAGCTGCAGTAATCTCTGAATGGCTGTCTTTCAGATCTGTGATTTTGGCCTGGCCCGAGTGGAGGAGTCGGATGAATCAAGACACATGACTCAGGAAGTGGTGACACAGTACTACCGAGCTCCAGAAATCCTCATGGGGAGCCGCCACTACTCCAACTCAATTGATATCTGGTCTGTAGGCTGCATCTTTGCTGAGTTGCTAGGGCGACGCATCCTCTTCCAAGCCCAAAGTCCTATTCAGCAGGTAGTTGCTACTTAATTTAAATAAGATGACAAAAGATAATCTGCAAGGCATGAGAAATTTTTTGTCTGGAAAGATTTTGATACATAAAAGTAACAGTGTGTTCTTTTTTCCCTTTTTTTGTGTTAAAATGTTAAAAACAGAATCATTACCAGTCACCACCAGGATTAAATAACCTCCTCCTTAAAAGAAAAACAGTCATGCAACAAACTGTTGTGTCTCACTATACTGTGATGTGTGTGCTTTTGTGTAGCTGGATTTAATCACTGACCTGTTGGGGACACCTTCTATGGAGGCGATGAGGACGGCATGTGAAGGCGCTCGTGCACATATTCTCAGAGGACCTCACAAACAGGTCAAATAGTGCTTTTTTGCATCTGTTCTATGTGAAAAGACAAAACAATACAGATGAAACTGAAAGATCAGGTTAATTAAATTTTATTTTTTGTTGTAATTCCTCCTGTCATAGAAACAGCACTATGGACTTGACTGCAAAAGGGACAGGGTTTCTAGCCTGTAATCACAATTACAAGTTGGTCCATTTCATGTGTGCACAATAAACACACAAATCTGCGCACTCACAGCCACACGCTATCCTGTTATTAGTCTGGAACTCCTCAATGCAGTGTTAATTTGGGGTTATGGGATGGGATTAAATAAGTGTGTACTTCTTCCCGCTCCCTTTCGAAATGTAAATGAATCAGAATAGAAGCAATATTGAAATGTATTGACTTAATTTTGTATAGTATTTTTTTATCTCTCTTATTTTCTTTACTAAATGTACCTGTATATTGTTTACATGTTCGAAATAAATTAACAAACAAACAAACAAATAATACCACCTAATATCCAAGTAATGCACTGATATTTATTTATTGGATACTACGGGCCCAAAAACAAGGGGTAATAATGTGGAAACACAGCTCTGTAATGAAGTGGTAATAGCAGGGTAACAAGGCCGAAACAAGAATGTAATAATGTGGTAATTAATAAGTTATTACCACTCAATTGCCTGTAGTAGTTTCTGTTTAATAAACAGGAAACAGAGCTGCAAAATGCAAAACTGCCTGTTTCTATTTAATAACATATTAATAACCTATTAAAGCTAACTTAAACAGTATGTGATTATTACCTGGAAACAACTATGGAGTTTTCTGTGTAATAAGCAGGAAATAGCTTCACGATGCGAACCTGCCTGTTTAATAACATATTAATAACCATGTTAATAACCTTTTAAAACAAACTTAAACTAGTGACTACCAGTACATACCTGTGGCGGTTTCTGTGTTATGAGTAGGAATTTAATACCATGGTCATGATAGCTGAGTAAAACAAGCATTAGGAAGTCTGTAATGAACTGGAACTGTACAAAATCCTACTAGTTATCTCGCTTGTCCAGTTGTGGTGAGGGCAACACCACCGTCCTGCACTGCCTTCATTATTGACTGATCTCTTACCATCTAAGGATCCAGCTTCTCCTGCAGCAAATTTCACAAATACAGACTGTCCTATTCCCCCCCAAAAAGGAAAAAAGGCACCATTATGATTTCTGTCTAAAGTTAAATAATGAAGTCATCCTTTTCTTTTTCTGCCCAAAAAAGCATATTGGAACTCACTGGAATTGGAATATTTAGTATCTATCCTTAGAAATAAATCACTACAAAATTCACTGGGCGTGGATAGCTGTATTTTGAGTAGACCACACCTCTCAACGGCCTAATTTTGGGGCAAATACGATAAATATCATCTAAAATATCATAACATATATATATGTAACTAACCACATTCAGGTTCCTATCCATATTTGCAATAATAGTGGTCAGCTTATTTCAAGACAACCTTACTTCCGTGCAACCTTGGTTTCTATAACTATTCCTTATATTGTGTCTACTATTAATCAGTACTTATACTACTACTGCTTATAACTATGGTAACTTACCCCACCCTTTCCTATTGGTGGAAAAATGTACCATGTCAACCAATCAAAAACCTGGAGCGAGTGTTTTAACCGATGCATGAAACTATACATTTTTAGACATAAGTTGTAACGGCCGCCGTTTTCTTTGTGAGTATTTATTACACGGCGTGCTGCAGGGAAAAGCCTGTTCTAACATTTGAGTCTAAGGTCTATTTTTTAGCACCTGACGGCTCTTTTTTGCTTCTCATCCGTAAATACTCTGCATGCTCTTTCACGTGATTCAGTTTATTTTGAAAAGTCTCAACAGGATCTTGAGCTTTATTGTGAAAGGTTTATGTGGAAAATAAACAAGCGGACACGCAATGGTTTTACCATCGCTGTTGCTAATGACAACGCATAAAAACAGGCGCTTGTCCGTCCGTAGTGTGGCTATATTAAATATAAGAGAAAGAGAGAACTTAAGAAATTAATATAGCCACTACAGTGACCATCAAAACGGTGAAAAAATATTGCCGTAAACAGTTTATTTTGCGACACCACAAAACAAACGATAGCGTAAAATAAAAACGATAGATGTTTTTATATCGTCATCCGATATATATCGTTATATCGAACAGCCCTTGGGAACATTGCTCTTGGGTGAGGTTTTCCAGGGATGTCCCACCAGGAGGAGGCCCCGGGGCAGACCCAGGACACGCTGGAGAGATTATATCTCTTGGCTGGCCTGGGAATGACTTGGTGTTCCCCTGGACAAGCTGGAAGAGGTGGCTGGGGAGAGGGAGGTCTGGGCTTCTCTGCTTGGGCTACTGCCGCCGCGACCCGGCCCTGGATAAGCAGAAGAAAATGGATGGATGGTTGGATAGATGGATGTTATAATCCATTGGTTTATGCAAGCATATCTACGAGGACATACAGATCTACGAGAGAACCCAAAAAGCAGGGAAATGGTGGCTAAAGTTAGCAGGCAATGCCTCACTTCTTTGCCTTTATCAAGGGATAACATTGAAAGTGCAGACTCCCAGTAGGTAGCAATCTGCCTCCTACTGGCATTCACTCTGTTTCCATGGCAGTAAAAATGAAAAACAAGAAAAAAAAGTACACAGAAAATTTTTATGCATTATGATGAAAATTTAGATGAAATTAAGTTAATTAGGGCAATAGTGAGTGTGGATCACTTTAAAGTGCCAGTTTAAGTTTGCTTTAATAGGTTATTAATATGTTTTTAAATAGAAACAGGCAGTTTTACATATGTGGTCCCAACACTCCTCCGTAATTGTCAGATTGCCTACTTTTTCCCACTTCACTTTAACAGAAGCAGTCCTGTCATTTTTATACCACAGGATGCTGTTTTTAATCTGGAAATAATTTTATTGTGAACTCCAGGTTTAGTTAATGATACAAATGTTTCTACAAGGTGGATGTAGCACTTACCATCCTGTTCTTTTTTTCTGAGGTAGCTCTGACATAGCCTGGACTTGTGTTTTGGGTCATTATCTTGCTGTAGAATGAACTCTTGACCAACTAGGTGCATACCAGAGAGTATTGGATGGGGCTACAGAAGCAGTAGCGGTTTTTGATACGGGCGACACGGGCGACACGGGCGGTTGCCCAGGGCAGTATCACGGCATCGGAAAAAAATAAAAATAAAAATAATTACTCGTACTCATGCTGCCCCGACATCATGCCAGTGCATATCGGGAATGGCGTAGGCACCGATCGGTTTTCTATCGCCCATTTGCTGGGAGTAAGGGCGCCCTCCGTTTGCGAGGTGCGCCTGCTGCTTGCGGCACAGGGAGGAGAGGGCGGCGGGGGATTCTCGCGCCAGTGGTGCACATTGCCGGCAATGTGCATCGCTGGCAATGTGCACCGCTGGCAATGTGCACCGCTGGCACGGCCATTTATTTTTTGATGCAACTTCTCAGATTAATTCACTGCGTGTAGAGCCCAGGGCTGGACTGGGACAAAAAACCAGCTGATACTAGAAATTAATATTAAATAAATTCTAACAACAGCTGATCAAGCTTAAACGTGCTGCTGTTGTTTAGTGCGACATCCGGCGGTTTCCTCTTTCTGGTGCAAAGTGGGCGATAAACAAACAAGAGAGAAAAGCTGATCATTGATCAGTTTCATGATTGAAGTAGCAACAGGAGAGAGAGGGGAGAGAATGAGAGAAGAAGAGGCAGATGTGCAGCAAAGACAAAATAACTCCACCTTTGTGTCTTTTTCATTCTAGCTGAAGTCCGGGACAAACTGTGTCCCCTCTCAGCTCAACACCAAACGCGTAATAATTTCTCTGAATGCGGGAGGATTCCATCTTTTTACGGGACGGTTGGCAACTCTACTAACTAACCTTATGAATTAAATAAAGTTCATTACCAGTAACATAGCACCCACCCAGCTGTATAGAAACTCATGCTAGCTAGTACGCAGTACGAGTTATTGTAACTGACTGTAAAAAGTCAGCACAACGAAAATAAACTAAACCTAAACTTGGTTTATATCTGACCCAGATAGACTGCAGGTCTCTCCTCGGCGGCCGCCTCGGGTCTCTCCTCGTCCTGCCGCCGATCTCCCTCATCCACCTGCTGGCCTCCACCACTTGTTAATTTTACCGAATCTGTGGAAGCTCCGCGATGCCACCACCAAACAACTGAGTTATTTTCACACACCGGCCAGCTTCTGGCCAATCCAACACCTTTCATTGTTTATACCGTTACAAAAAAAAAAATAATAATCAGGCCACTGACCAGTCCAGCTATGGCCGTGCCATCAGTTAACCCTTCGCATGCCAACTGTGGCACGCGTGCCTAGGGTTGCCGACCCCTGCTATAGATGATAAACTGGAAAATATATTTGTAACATTGCTGTTAAATCTAAAATTGTACTGTTGGCTTGTTGTTCACTTCTTCCTCTTGTACTTGTAAGAAACATATGAATGTAAGATGTGCCAGAAGCTGAAAGAGAGGGCAACATTCTAAATGGTGTGATGTTTGGTTTACAGCCATCCCTTCCTGTTCTGTACACACTGTCCAGCCAAGCAACCCACGAAGCAGTGCACCTTCTCTGCAGGATGCTGGTGTTTGATCCGGTGAGGCATTCTGATATAGATTTACATTATGTTTTGTAAATGAATCCCTTTCACTAAGTAGCTTGTGTACAATAATACACATATGTCTTAATGTATACTCAATTACTCAGGTAAGGAAATCCCAAAAAGTTGATTCAACTTGCAGGTTGGGGAAAATCTGCTGTCTGGTAAGACTGAAGAAGTCACTTGGATGAGTGACAAAACGTTTCTCTCACTGAAAATGCTATGGCCAGATGAACAGAAGCAATAACATGGGAATAATAAACATAGTTTGAACCATAATGTGGGGCGATCGTGGCTCAAGAGTTGGGCGTTCGCCTTGTAATCGGAAGGTTGCCGGTTCGAGCCCCGGCTTGGACAGTCTCGGTCGTTGGGTCCTTGGGCAAGACACTTCACCTGTTGCCTACTGGTGGTGGTCAGAGGGCCCGGTGGCGCCAGTGTCCGGCAGCCTCGCCTCTGTCAGTGCGCCCCAGGGTGGCTGTGGCTGCAATGTAGCTTGCCATCACCAGTGTGTGAATGGGTGGATGACTGGATATGTAAAGCGCTTTGGGGTCCTTAGGGACTAGTAAAGCGCTATATAAATACAGGCCATTTACCATTTTTACCATTTACCATAATAATGAAAGCCCACTTCAGTTACTTGAGCTCTCAAGGCAGGAGCATCCTTAATGAGTTCATGACATCATTGATCCTGTAATTTCTATCATTGTCCAGTTTCATCAAACCCATCCTTGACACTGGTGAAACCAGGTTACTGTGGCTACACACAGTCTGCTTTCAGATAATGATATGGTCATGTCAGTCTATTAGAGGTAGTATTAGTGTTCTCACAGTCCAGTAGGGATATGACAGTTTAATCTGTGCCTTTTCTAAAAGGGCCATTCAGTGATTTTCACACCAGTCCTTTATTTATTGTTTCTTGCCTGTATTTGAAGAGTAACAGTTTAAAATTTAACACATTTAACTTTTGTATCTGGTCTCCAGTCAAAGAGGATTTCAGCCAAAGATGCCCTGGCTCATCCTTATCTAGACGAGGGTCGACTTCGCTACCACACGTGCATGTGCAAATGCTGCTATACCACATCCTCGGGTCGCGTGTACACCAGTGACTTTGAGCCCATCACTAACACCAAGTTTGATGATGGCTTTGAGAAGAATCTGAGCTCTGTAAGACAAGTCAAAGGTAAATTTGTTTGCTCTTTTTGTTTCTATTTGCAAGGCGCATAAACATCAACAAAAATAAACCCTGCAGCCCTGGCTTTGATAGATGAAAATAAGTTAATAGGACTGACAGACACTTGGGTTAAAAATTGAAAGTCTGCTTCTTCCTTACAAACATTTTAACCCAACTGTCATATTAACAATGGAGATCATTATCAATTCAATTTTATTGGCATAGCAGCAAATCGCAGCAATACCAAGGTGCTCAGTATTGTAAAGACTCTACAATAGTGCAAATCTAGCCTTGGGCTTGTTGTGTACCTTGAATTTGCTGCTTTACTGCTATTTTGATGAGATATCATTGCAGGAGCTCAGAGATTCCCAAATATAAAGAGGGACATGCTGCTACAGCTTGAAATATTAGACTTTCAGGATAAAACGTTGAAACTCCTTGCCTTCTGTGCATCCTGTTTTATTTCTTCTACTCCAATACCAGTGCTAAGGCAATGATTTTCTTTTTTCTGAGTGGTAACATTGGTAACAAGACTGCAGCAAGATAATAAAGAAAAGAAAACATAATTCTGATCTTTACGTAAGCATGGGAAATATATTTAAAAAAAACTTCACAATGGCTGTACATTAGGATCATTAATAATGAATGATGATTGCGTGTTTCTCTTACAGAAATTATCCATCAATTCATTTTGGAACAGCAAAAGGGAAGTAGAGTACCACTCTGCATTAATCCTCAATCAGCTGCTTTCAAAAGCTTCATCAGGTAGGAGACTCTGTAATTGTTAGCAGTATGAACACACACTAATACTAAATATTGTGTACATGAGTTACAGATACTGTACTGTGCCAAAGTCTTGATCCACCCTGCTTTCTGGGAGCCAGACTTTTTTTTTCTTGAGCAACAGTCCTATAGACTTGCTGAAGGTCTTTCTAAAGGTTTTCTCTGGACATTGGTTGCTTTTTTGTCCCATTTTCAGGCCAGTTCTTGTACCTGAGCATTTTGATGAATGATACAGGAACAACACAGGACGTGATAAATGCATCTGTTGTTCACTTAATCTTCAACAGAAATGCAAGTCAAGGAGATATTTTAGGGAGAAAAGGCTAAAGTATTCCAAATTACACAAGAACTGGACTTAAAATCAGGAATAACAGGTCTTGTGAATGAAATTGAAATTGTCATCAGTATGCACAGAGAATGTCAGGAGAGAGATACAGTGAGTGTCTACAGAAATCTGACTTAGTCATGGTTTGGGGCTCCATATCAGCCTGTGCTGTTGGAGATCTTGTCAAATTTAATTGAATTATGACCACAGAAAAGTACCATCAGCATTTGATCCACCATACACTACCATCTGGAAACACCTAATTGGCAAGGACTTCTTTGTTAGTATGGCAAGGATCCCAAACACACTGCCAATGTCATAAAATCCTGGATGAACACACACATACACACACACTCACATAAAATCTGTAAAAGACCTTTTTCTGGTGTAATAAGCCATTTCCAGTGAGGCCACCATGACTGTCACATTTAAAAAACAGCAAATAAGTTAATGTCACGTGGTTAGTGGCCATATTCCATATTTTGCGCATCATTTTACAGATGAATGAACACAAATGTTTGTACATGAGGCCTAAAGAAAGTAATGATGATAAGCCTGTCTGAATTTGTAAACCTTCCCCACTTACCATGGAAAGAGTCAGACATCCTATTGAGAAGATCAGCAACATGCCATTGTGAACTAGCATGCATGTGGCTCCTCTAAGTAGTACACTACTATCATTAACTCTAGCAGTTAACGTTGGTGGTATTAAACCTTTGTGTCCAACTAACAAATGTTTTACTCTCAACTAAATATTGCTAATATTAACTCCTTTCACTTAATGCCCTGTTTTTTGAACAGCTCCACAGTGGCTCAGCCCTCTGAAATGCCTCCATCTCCGCTGGTGTGGGAATAGCTACTGTTTTGTGTCGTTATTTTTCCTGACTGACAAGCTGCTAAACTGGGAACAAGAAAGGGTCTCAGTGTCTTCTATCATCTGTGTAGCATTTCACTGGAGAGCAGGACTCACAGGTCTGCTGGGTTTATGCTGAAAAATGGAATCAAAGAAAGGTCCACTGATAATTGCTTTATGGAAATTAATGACAGAAAAGCTCTGTATAATGCTTTGTACAGAATTTTTCTAAACAAACTGAGAACATACACACATCATATATATATATATATATATATATATATATATATATATATATATATATATATATATATATATATATATATATATTTGTGTGTGTGTGTGTGTGTGTGTGTGTGTATATATAGTGTTTGTGCACAAATTATATATAAAATGTATATTTTACAAATTCTGCAATCACCATCTCATTAATTTAGAAAACTAGGCTACTTTGCACCCGTCATTTCTGTCATTTCTGCATTATTTCCAACCACACTTTTTATTCTGACAATCAACTGCAACATTATTATTATTATGGGCAACTGAAAATTTCCCATATTTTAGAATTTTTACAAATTTGCTCTCTGTAGCATTATTGTTTTATTTATTTTTAATCATTTGTATTAAAAAAATGTCGCCTTGTGGCCCCACTGCATATTTGACAGTTTTCATTTATTCATTCTTTTGACAGAAGGGGTGCTAATTGATTTTGAACAATTTTGCCTATTTAACGTCTGATAAAAAAAATAAAATCAAAACCTAAGACCAACATATTCTAAATAGTTCTATTGAAAACACAGGGAACAACCAAACATGGAGAGATTTGGATTTAAATACAGGCAACTATATGATCCATCTATTTATGCTGTGAAAGTTTTTTTGTTTTACTTGTTCCAGCACATCAAAATTGTGATAGCTTGTCACACAGCCAATTTAGACCAAATGTTTCCTGATTAATTACTCATCATCTTCTCATAGCGTCCTTCTATGTGGAATTAGTTCACCTTTTGTCATTTGCTTACAAAACATACACCATGGGATGTCTGTTGTCTAAGAAAGATACAAAAGTTTCCTCCCTTTTAGTAAGTTTCAGTTAAATTAAATTGCTACAGTGGATTTTGAAACTATCTGTAGTTTTCACAGAAAATTCATTGAAATGTTTAAAATGGAAAAATGGAAAATGCTTACAGGAAAGTAATTATTACTGATAATGTTTATGTCAAGTTTTCCATTCACATATTAAGGTTTTTCATTCACACACTGCCTGAGAGTTGCCAGCCATATTAGATGTGATACAACAGCCAGTTGCTAGTGACTGGATGACAGTGGTCTCTGGAGTTTCATGGCTCCTGCTGGGTTAAATATGACAAAGAAAAGAAAATGCTGCACCAAAAACTTCCCAGTGATTGTTTTATTTGCTAGCAACCATATTGCTGTGGTTGCCTGTAGTTTTTCATATTTGTCTGTAAATATTTGCTTACTACTATATAGAGAAGCAAATCTACAAATCTACAAGTAGGCAAATGGTTTATTGTCGCCACTGGCCGGGCCGGTGGTGTGGACACACCAGTTTGTGAATGCGACAACTCGAGAATGAGGTGACATGGGAAGTTTAAAATTGATAGGTGCTGATATTAAAAGTTAGGCTCTCAGTTTTTTTGAAAATCTTGTAAATGCGATAACTTGGGATTTTGAATAAGGCAACATAGGATTTTGAAATTGTTACCACAGGTATCTAATAGGAGGCTGGCAGGTGGCACTGGCAGTCACAAGTATTTTTTTCTATGTTTTGTCTACATGACAGTCTAACAGTCACACTTATTCATCCAGTGAATACATCGGTATCGGCGCTTTGAGTGCTCAGAAGAGTAGAAAAGCGCTATATAAGAACCAGTCCATTTACCATTTATCATCGGTAGCAGCTTGGGATTTAGTATCTTGCCCAAGGATACCTTGGCATGCAGGCTTGAGCAGTCAGTAAAAGAACCACCAACCTTTCGAGTAATAGATAACCTACTCTACCTCCTAAGCTAAAACTACTACCTTCACAGCTTCACAGTAATAGTTGTGTTTAAATAGGCAAACCTTTTACTTTGAAGACAAACAGCCTCCTTTTCCAGTTTGTGTCGCACTTTTCTGGTTTCACTGCAGTGCAGACAGTAGGTGGAAAGTGTTTCTATAAGTCGGTCACATCCATTCAAAAAATATACAATATCATCATAGTGACCAAAGCAATCGTTAAGTTTTTGGGGAATACACATTTTTCCTTAGCAGGGGGGTCACCAACAGGTCTTTCAGCTAGTGTGACTGGGCCTTCAGTGATCATTTTCCCAGGGACTGCTGTCAACCTCCTACAACTCACGATCAGTCAGGGAACACCTTTTCCTTTATTACTGGTTGTAAACTAGTCTTTCGCCCTGTGTAAATAGATTGTTAGCCAAATGTAAGACAATGTAGACCTTGAGTCTGCATTGTCACCATACACCATGATTGTCACATTTCCAAAATAGCAAATAAGTTAACTTAAATAGTTAGTGGTCATATTTCATATTTTGCGCATCATTTTACAGATGAATGAACACAAATGTTTGTACATGAGGCCTAAAGAAGGTAATGACAATAAGCCTGTCTGAATTTGTAAACCTTTTCCACTTATCATGGAAAGAGTCAGACATCCTACTGAGAAGATCAGCAACACACCATTTCTGATTGGTAACATGAACTTGGGTAAAGTGTTCAGTTCTATTTAATTTCTGTGCAAAATGAAATGGAATTTGCAGTTGAAAATATATATGAAGAGATCATTTTGGTGGCGCTGGTGAATGCTCACTTGCATGCTTCATGAAGACAAGCTTTTTAATGAATAGGAAATAACTTTAAGAATGAATTAGCCTAAAACCCTGCTTCTAGACTAGACAATAAAATAAACTCCTCTGATGCATACGAGTGACTGTAATGATAAAAAGAACAAACAATTCTACAGTAATATTTCTACCCCCTCGTTTGACCATATCAGTTATACTACTTATAACGAGTTCAGTCATCACATATAATTTAAGAAGTCCCATCAGACTGACTGAAAAACTGTTGTATAATGAAGGAATGTGTTTTATCTACATATGTGCCTCCTAAAGTTCCCGTCTTGGACATTCTCAGTCAAGGTGAGCTATTTTTTTTTCCCAAAAGAGTCTGAAGAGAATTATTTCTTATTAAAAATAACCTAGAAGCTTGCACTGAGCTGAAATATATCAGGTTTCCATTGTTCTCTGTAACCTTTGCTGGACTTGCTGTGTACTGTACACTTTCTGCACTGAAACAGAGCTGATGCAAGTCCGAGTGTTTATGGTTCTTCATAGTCTGGGTCCTATTTAAGTGGACTTGGCTATTCATTATTTTCCATGAGCACATTAAAAGTATAGCTTTTCTGTTGGGACATCAGCAAGCTCACAAGTCTCACAAGTGAGACTGTAAGTTAATCTAACCAAAGCCATGTGAGCCACATTTTTTATCCTACCTTTTAACATCCTTACATCGCCAGCAGGAAGAAAAGAGCAGAGGGTAAATACTGTCATGTAATTAACTTTAACAGTTAACAAACACATTGACACTTTTTAAAAAGTTTTTGCAGGCAAGAAATTGTCATTGTCATCAATAGGCTGTTGTCTGCAGCAAGACTGCAATATGACAAGGTCTGGTGACAATACAATAACAAAATGCAAAATACATTTCAGAGACTTCATGTCAGAAATGGCATGTATATATATATATATCTATATATCTATACATATATATATACACACATGTATATATATATATACATATATATATATATATACATATACATATATACATATATATACATATACATATATATATATATATATATGTATATATATATATATATGTATATGTATATATATATATATATGTATATATATATATGTATATATATATATATATATATATATTAGGGGTGCAACGATATTCGTATCGATATTGAACCGTTCGATACAGTGCTTTCGGTTCGGTACGCATATGTATCGAACAATACAACATTTGTAATTTATTTTATCAATTTTCCTTCTGACGATGCTGTCTGTGTTGAGCGCTCAGTGAATCTGTGTTCGACTACTCCTCCTAGGCTGCACTGTCCAGCGCAGATCCACTGAGCGCTCAACACAGACAGCATAGTCAGAAGGAAGAGCACAGGGCACCTCCCCCACCCTCATTCAGATCTGGCGTTTGGAATTATTTTGGTTTTCATGTGACGTATGACCCTGAAGGTAAGCGAGTCATGGACTAAAGTAAAACAGTATGTTGGATGTGCCATGCAATGCTCAATTACATTGGTGTGAACTAGTGTGCTAGCGCAGTTAGCTCGTTAACGTGTTGGCCGTCTAGCCCCATGCACGGAGCGATCGGCGGTAGCTCGTTAACGGAGATTTGCCGTGTTGTGGCGTTAAGGTCATTTCAACGAGATTAACCTGAAAGCACTAGTGGGAACACGACGTATATGACTGCACATTTACACCCACATCATCCTAGTGCAAAGACAAGTGGAAGCAGACAAAAAAAAGCAAGCATGCTACTAACTTTAGCCGAGTCATTTAGACAGCTGTTAGCACATGATTCTCCTTATGCTGCTGAGAATATAGCCCAGAAGAAGCGGATAGTATAGCTTTTATTTTGGAAAGAGCCATTTCTCTGTAATAAACTCTCTTTTCCAAAGATGAGTGATTCCTCAATCAGATACAGGGCTCGCAATATCGCTAGCCCGACGTCCCGGAGCTAGCGATTTTTTCAGTCGGGCTACCAAAATCTATCTCTTCCCTGAACGTCGGGCTATTGTAGGAAAAATATATGTCAATGCTTTTGCATTCTTTCAGAAATGTAGCTGGGTAATTATGTCATTGGCATCGGTGAGCCACTGTCAATATGTGACATATTGAAATCGCGTTTGAATTTGCGCTTGTTTTTTTGCTTTCACTTTGCAATCGCGTGAACTGTGTATAGAGAGCGACAGCACTGATTGGTGAGTGATGATAATTTGTGCACCAATTCCTCTGACATCGTCTTATTAATCGTTAGCTTACTATGCAAACATGACAAGTGAAATCTCCCGCAGCAGGCTTAAACATGTGAGAGGTTGATCGCGCAGAGAATCGCTGAGCTTATGTGAGTGCGTGTGTAAAAGCATTTCAGTTCTGCTGAGCCAAATAAGACAGGTCAGGGTGAAGAAGTGACAGCCAAAGAAAAGCTTACCACAAAACGGAGAAGTTATGACAAATCAGACTATAAGGCAAAAAGAAAGTGCAGCTTTATGGTTTCATGGACAAAAGAATTTCTGTGGCTGCAATATGACGAGCTAAATAACCAGGGCTGCACATAAGTGGTCCGCAGGTGCGCATTCGCTGTCAAAATAAAAAACACGCACAAGGGTTAGGGTTAAATTTAAAAACTGTACTTTTGAGTTCGAAAAAATATCGAACCGTGACACCAAAGTATCGAACCGAACCGTGAATTTTGTGTATCGTTGCACCCCTAATATATATATATATATATATATATATATATATATATATATATATATATATATATATATATATATATGAATTGGGTCAATACAGTAAAAAGAAAATATGCAGAAAAATAATTAAAATTTTAATTCTTTGGTGAGCCACTGACTTTTTGGGTGGTTGTTGGTTAGCCAAAGCAAAGCGTTGTTTGTGTGTTATCACATATAGATGGTTGGAATGGAACAGCAACGGAAGAATCAGACTTAGACTGGGAAATACATATTCAAAAAACTAAAATCATAGTGAGCTAAAGTAGCTTTCTTCTGGTGAGAAGAAAGCTTTTTCATTAGAAGGACCAATCGGAACCTGTCAAAATACAAAGTAACTGATCTGGTGAAAATGAGTGACTGGCAGTTAAACCAGCAGTAAATTTTGTTTTAACCTTGTTCTTTCTACTTGAATCTGTCATCACATACTATAGACATTCTTCAAGAATTGTACTGAGCAGCTCTTCTCAGACAGGAGAAAAGTAGCACATGAACATCTCAAAAATGACATGGTCTTTTCTACATGTTTTTCCCTAGATGGTAATCCAGTGCAAATATGTGCCCCTGCTCTTTCTCATGTGTGTACACTGTCTTCAGGAGAAACAAAGTTTTTGACGTAATTTATTTAATATATTTTTAGACTTGTTATCAATCTGTTCTTGTGTCCTATGGTATGCATTCTTTTCACACCTCAGAAAATAACTATGTATATATATGTTATATAGAGAAGCAAATCTACAACAACCTACAAAAAACACACAAAAAAAACACTGTATAGGGATTGTATTAGCCTGTACATTTCTAAGGCTGTGAAAAATTTTTTTTAAAAACTTGCATACAAATGTATATATTTTCTTGATTTTTACCCTGCAACTAGGATGTGGACAGAAAATCCTGTAACAATTAAAAGAAATGCAGTCATCTTAACTATAACTTGTGTGTACAGCAGTTGTAGATATGTCTAAGAAAAATGCATTTTTTGTTATTATTTTTAATTATTTTGTCACGGCAACACTGTGAATATGTATATTAAGAATTCACCGTGTTGGTCTCTACCTCTTGAGCTCAATAACTTGGCATTGTTTACCTCCACACATTTCTGATCATGTGGGGATGAAATAAAAAAACAATATCAAAAAAACACTTGAATGTCCATTCATGCTTTTATACCGAAATAATAAAATATTCTGCCCCTCCACATACATCTTCTGACAGACCTTTCTTGCACTCTGTAATACAAAACCTACCAGTAGCCAAGGGTTACCTGACTGTTAGATGTTCTGACCATGATGGTTGCATTCAAAGCTCAGTGTCAGGGACAGTAGTGTCAGCAGTTGAGGTTCCATCATCCATAATTTAACTAAGAGGTGCCCTTATGCCCTGTAAAATCGAATTAGTTCCCAGAACTAAAGTAAAGCTCACTTAAGATAACTAAGGACAGCTTATTCATTGCGAGTACACAGTACTAAGAATAACTTGATATTTTTGAGTGAGCAATACTAATTGTTTACCCTACTGATAAACATTTCAAGTTCTACTAAGTTAAAAAAAGAAATTGTGGTGACTTACTATTTTTAATTTTCCTTACATACAAATAAATGCAGCTAAATCACATTATGTTTTATCATCCTTAAACTTAAGAGATTTCTAGTACAAGTATGATTCAAAAACAAAAATTAAAAGCACTTGCAATGCAGTTAAAATTATCCCAGCCTTTTTTTCAAATGCAAAAAAGTATGTCAGCCAACATACTGGACACTGTTATGTTTAACAACAAATAAGTATATTCCCATTCCCCCATTAGATTTTAAATATTAGTACAATTAAATTGTATGTTTAATTGTTAAGATAATTTAAACCTTTAATAACCTTACACTGAGACAAATTCTCAGATTTAATTATTCTGAAACTAAGTTAAAGCTTCCCATAACTTTGTATTGCAAGTTACATTGCTGATATAATCAGTATAAAATGTATTTATTGTTCAGCTCAAACAACACATTTGTTTTGCATTCAAACACAGGAGCTTTGTGTCTTGTAACATTTTAAGGATGGTTTGTTTCCATTCTTGGCATTACTGCCTGAATGACTGCCATGGATTTAGACGATCCAAATGTAAGTGCCTCAATGAAGTCTTTGACATTGTTGCAACTTCCCTTAAGGGCAGTGGATGTGGGTTGGAAGTGCAATGACCTCAAACCTGCAGGTGACCATCTTCACTGACCACACACCTTCTGTGACGGAGGGCTTATCACTACTGGTGTCCTGGAAGGAAACAATCGTATTATTGTATGGTCGACCTTGCAATATAAAGCACCTTGAGGCAACTGTTGTTGTGATTTTGCACTGTATAAATAAAATTGAATTGAATGTAGAACACCAACTTATTTGGCTTTTTAAAAAATGTATTTCTGCATTTCCTATAGAACAGATCTCAAGTTAGACAAACTAGCTGTGTGATTACATTATTAGTAAAAAATACTGTAAATTTGATATAAACAATTGTGGCACCTCAACTTGCTTCTTTCGATGTGGACGAGTAGCAACTCTACTCTACCCCTCTTGAATGACTCTTCACCACAACAGACTGGTATAGCGTCCACATCACTGCAGCTGCAGCAACATCCATCTGTCGATCTCTCATTCCTCTCTTCGTTCACTCGTGAACAAGACCCTGCGATAAATAAACTCCTTCAACCGGGGCAGCAACTCATCCCTGATGCAGAGTAGGCACTTCACCCTTTTCAGCTGAGGACCATGGCCACAGATTTTGAGGGGGCGATGTAGGTAGAGTGTTCGCCCCATGATCGGAAGGCCGGGGGTTCAAATCCACCGAATTACTAGCCTGAGGTACCCCTGAGCAAGGTACCTTCTCTACACACTGCTCCCCTGGCACTGGATTGATGGCTGCCCACTGCTTCACTGAGTGAATGGGTTAAATGCAGAGGACTAATTTCCTACTGGATTAATAAAGTATGCATTGTACATTGTCATTCCCACCATTCCACACTCAGCCATCAACTGATGTCTAACCAATCCTGACAGTACCCCTCTTCAACTTGATGTGATTATCACCACGACAGGCACCAACCATCTTGCAGCCTCAGCTCCTTCCAGGAGCCTCAACATTGCCCATTCCAATTCAGTGTTCCCAGCCTCTCTCAGAATGCTTTCAGGTGTGCTAGGTCTGTCTGGCATGCGCCCCTGGCACCTGATCCAACTCACCACAAGGTGAAAGAACAGTAAAAAATAAAATTTCCCAAGCCAAAGCACAAATCAAAATTGAAGTAAAACAGGTTGGTTTAAAGTATGATTAAAGTTTAGCACGATCAATGATGATTATTAATATTTTGGAAAACCAAAACACTTACCACCCAGTTGATGTCTTCTTGCATGTGTTTGATGTAATGTGGGGAGTGCTGGCCCAGAGCCTCAAAGAAAGCAAGCAGAGGGAGAAAAAAAAAGAAAATTGTTTGGAAGCTGAGATTGCTTCTTATTGACTTTGCAACCATTATAGCTTAAAATATAGAAACACAATGTACACCTCATACTAACTAATTAGACTAGCACATATACTTATTAATAAAAATAATAGAAAAAAATAGTCATTTAAAACACTATCTACTACTATGTCTGAATGTGTGGTATTGCCAATGTCAGTTTAGGCCTAAAGAGATGTGTGTTATAAAAAAAAAGACCACCTAAATTAAATGAAATCATTACATGCTTGTTAAAAGCTAACTTCCAATATATAGTTTCTAAAAAGCACAATAACCATTGTATGTATATTTATATTTAACATAGTCTACCCCAAAATGTTTCTGATGATTCAATAGTAGAGTTTAACTAATTTGTTTAGAAGAAGCTAAATTACTTTTCAGCTATAAAGCCCAATTAGATTGTAACCCTAATCTGGTTTATAGCTTTTGAATTTCACAACAAAACATGAATCTAAAATACTATTAAAACTAACAAATACTAGTATTATTTAAAATGAAATTAAACAGAAATGTTGGTTAAATGTAAAAATAGCTTGCTAAAGAATGGCTAGATTTGACATTAACAGATGCCACAGATATTCAAAAGCAGCAACAAAGCATTAGAATAAATGCCGGGTCTAAGAATATACAGTTAATATGTTATAAAAGTCCATATGAATTAAAACAAGCCGAACCCCTAAGGGCTGCACCCTCTGGAAATGTTTCGTCTTGGCTTCTGCAACGCTTACTTTTCTATTTCAAATGAGCAACAGTAAATTTGCTCAGTCTTTTATATAAGGTTTTTAAAGCTGTGGGGTTAATTTTTTAACCAACATGAGCCGAGAGGCAGCACTGGCTAGCTAGCAACTTCATAAAGTGCTAAACTGCAAGAAGGCACAAAAACAGTTTGAATGAGAATAAACATTTACTCACTAAATCAGTGGTGATACGCTGATTGACATATAAGAAATGTCAACAATACAGGTTTGCTCAGCATATTTCAGAGAAAAAAAGGCATGCTATGAACATGTGGATTGATCTGTGCAAGGGATGAGGAAAGCAGTGACATGGCATTTTTAAACCATATCATTTTTTCCTTCCGCTGAAGAGAGACTGCCTCCAGACGGGAAGAAATAAAAGCATGGATGACTGTTTCGAGGTGCCTTGAAAGAAAAGATTTCACTCTTGCCAGTCGCCTTAAATGATAAAAACTGGACTTCACCAGCTCTAATTTGGCTGTCCAATTTAAAACAGTAATAACAGGTTTAAAATAAACTTCCAAGGGTCCCAAATCAACAGAGGACTCACAGTGCCCACTAGGTCCAAACACCAACACCTCTGTTTTCTTTTCATTAAAATTTTAAAGTTTAAAGCCAACCACACTTTAATGTCATCTAGACATGCCAAAAGAGGTTTGATGGCGATGCCATCCTTCTGCTTTAGTGGCAAATAAATTTGGCATTCATCAGCATAACAATGAAAAGCAATCCCTTCCCGTCTAAGGATGGAACCCAGAGGCAATAAATGTAATAATAATTATTGTTAATAATAAATAATAATGAAATAAAACAAAAGAAAATGACCATACCATATGGTTTCATTTTCAGTTTTGAGGGCATTTGTATGAGCTGAGATGCAGTCTCTCAATCTAGTCCTTTGTTTTTGTCTAAAAACAAAAACAAAAAGCAAATCAAAAATTGATTAACTAATTAATACTTTTAGTTGTACTATGCACAACTGGGTGACTTATTTTTTTATATACAAAGGTCCAAAAGTAGTATAAACTGTCAGATAATGAAGTAAAATATAAAGCATAGTGAAGCAACAATAGAGAGCAAAAGGGAAGCTCAAGTAAAGTAGGTAACTGTGAATTTAACCTACTTAAGTTATTATTTATTAGATCTTTTATTAGATATTTGCACACAAAGAAGGCAACAGCACCACAAAAACATTCAGGGGGTTTTGTGACTCGAATTAACTGAGGTGACAAAACAAAAACCTGTGGACTGAATGAATAAAATACAGAATCTCTATGCACCAATGGCACACAGTACAATAATATATTTTGAGATCGTATATGAAATATCTAGGAGTATATCCATCCACGGTGCATTCTAAAGTTTGTCATATTATATAGATAGCACAGCATGGGGATTTAAAAAGAATGGGCCTGCAGGTCAGAAGTGGATGCAGTTTGGTCCACTCAGCTTTGCCAAGTGTGACAATTGCAGCGAAGTAATTATTCAGTTTTCAGTAAACATGATGACACCATTACTACACAGGAGATGAGTAATTTGTGATTTTATAACTACAAGGATGTAAAATACTGCTGTTTTGTTGCAAATCTGGTGTTCAGTGTCCAAAATTCACATTATATGATCAAATCAAAAGGGAGGCTGCCCATAACCAAGCAGGCCTGAATCCAGACGAAGACATTGTCTTCAGTCACATCTTCATCAGCTGTTAAATCTTTACTTTCTTCAAAGTTAAGCTCTGTCCACAGGATGGCCTTGGTCACTTCTATTTTTGTTCATTTCCATCACAAGTAAACATAATGTGTTCTCTCAGAAATCTGTAAAATATAGCAAATGTCATAAAACACAATGCAATGCAAACCACAATTAATTTTGTAAATTGTCTATATTTATATGCTAGAACATCTCATTAACAACATAAATAATGACTTGAGCTTGGCAAGAAGACAATTCTTCAGCCAGAAAGGATTATAATATGGATCTTTAATATGAATATAATTTTGTTTAAAAAAAAATGTATCTTGTTAACAAAATTGTTAGCAATTAACAATTTAAGATATATTGTTCATTATCACCAGGCTGTCACCTGGTAAGAATGAACCACCAGAGCATTTAATCACAAGAATATCTTGTAGACATTATGTATACAAAGACATAATGAGGGGAGCAGTCCATGAAGGACTTAATATACCTTGGTCAATGGACCTAAATCTTCAGAGAGTTCTCTTGTGAAGTAACTAGATTCCGTGCAGCATTGACTGTGGCCAGTAGGGTCCTACAAGACAAACCCAGAGTCAAATCTAGATTCCTTTTGATTTTTGAATGCACTTGAACTGAATTGAATTAAAGATAAACTGTTGAACTGGGCAAGCCTACTAGCAACTTCAAATAATGTCAATCCAAAGACAGTGAATCATTTAAATCATATAAGTATCTATCTATCTATCTATCTATCTATCTATCTATCTATCTATCTATCTATCTATCTATCTATATAGATAGATAGATAGATAGTAGGGGTGCAACGATATTCGTATCGATATTGAACCGTTCGATACAGTGCTTTCGGTTCGGTACGCATATGTATCGAACAATACAACATTTGTAATTTATTTTATCAATTTTCCTTCTGACGATGCTGTCTGTGTTGAGCGCTCAGTGAATCTGTGTTCGACTACTCCGCCTAGGCTGCACTGTCCAGCGCAGATCCACTGAGCGCTCAACACAGACAGCATAGTCAGAAGGAAGAGCGCAGGGCACCTCCCCCACCCTCATTCAGATCTGGCGTTTGGAATTATTTTGGTTTTCATGTGACGTATGACCCTGAAGGTAAGCGAGTCATGGACTAAAGTAAAACAGTATGTTGGATGTGCCATGCAATGCTCAATTACATTGGTGTGAACTAGTGTGTTAGCGCAGTTAGCTCGTTAACGTGTTGGCCGTCTAGCCCCATGCACGGAGCGATCGGCGGTAGCTCGTTAACGGAGATTTGCCGTGTTGTGGCGTTAAGGTCATTTCAACGAGATTAACCTGAAAGCACTAGTGGGAACACGACGAATATGACTGCACATTTACGCCGACATCATCCTAGTGCAAAGACAAGTGGAAGCAGACAAAAAAAAGCAAGCATGCTACTAACTTTAGCCGAGTCATTTAGACAGCTGTTAGCACATGATTCTCCTTATGCTGCTGAGAATATAGCCCAGAAGAAGCGGATAGTATAGCTTTTATTTTGGAAAGAGCCATTTCTCTGTAATAAACTCTCTTTTCCAAAGATGAGTGATTCCTCAATCAGATACAGGGCTCGCAATATCGCTAGCCCGACGTCCCGGAGCTAGCGATTTTTTCAGTCGGGCTACCAAAATCTATCTCTTCCCTGAACGTCGGGCTGTTGTAGGAAAAATATATGTCAATGCTTTTGCATTCTTTCAGAAATGTAGCTGGGTAATTATGTCATTGGCATCGGTGAGCCACTGTCAATATGTGACATATTGAAGTCGCGTTTGAATTTGCGCTTGTTTTTTTGCTTTCACTTTGCAATCGTGCGAACTGTGTATAGAGAGCAACAGCACTGATCTGTGAGTGATGATAATTTGTGCACCAATTCCTCTGACATCGTCTTATTAATCGTTAGCTTACTATGCAAACATGACAAGTGAAATCTCCCGCAGCTTAAACATGTGAGAGGTTGATCGCGCAGAGAATCGCTGAGCTTATGTGAGTGAGTGTGTAAAAGCATTTCAGTTCTGCTGAGCCAAATAAGACAGGTCAGGGTGAAGAAGTGACAGCCAAAGAAAAGCTTACCACAAAACGGAGAAGTTATGACAAATCAGACTATAAGGCAAAAAGAAAGTGCAGCTTTATGGTTTCATGGACAAAAGAATTTCTGTGGCTGCGATATGACGAGCTAAATAACCAGGGCTGCACATAAGTGGTCCGCAGGTGCGCATTCGCTGTCAAAATAAAAAACACGCACAAGGGTTAGGGTTAAATTTAAAAACTGTACTTTTGAGTTAAAATATATATTTATAATTTTAATAAATGACAAATTAAAAATGCATGAACATTTTTTTGTATCGAAAAAATATCGAACCGTGACACCAAAGTATCGAACCGAACCGAACCGTGAATTTTGTGTATCGTTGCACCCCTAATAGATAGATAGATAGATAGATAGATAGATAGATAGATAGATAGATAGATAGATAGATAGATAGATAGATAGATAGCTTGTCTATAAAAGGTGTCTTTAAAAGCTGTCTGGACTCCTGGTGAAACATTTGCCCAAACACCCTGGAGAGGACACAGGCACAGGAAAGAAAGGTGAGTAATCACATCTTAGTCACTTCTTTGCACCACATTATTTTTAGATTTTCACACACTTGCATTAGTTCTCCTTACTGGTAAACCTTATTTGCTCTCAATCCCAATTCCTTTCTCCTCACAGACAACCACCACATTTCTTGATGAGGAGCAGCTGTGCGGGACCTGGAACAAAGGCTACCAACTGATTTTAAAATACGCAATAAATATTCAATAAATAATTAAACTTCTTGTGTGCAAATGTTCTTCATGTGCAAATCTATGCTTACAGTGCGATGCTAAATAAAGTGCTAGATAAGGTGCTTTTAATAAAGTGAAAGGTGTGCTCCTAAAGTGCTATACAAATTATAATATAAACAGTAGTAAGGGAGTCCTCTTCCTTACAGAGGCCAATGACTAGAGAGTGATAGAACCACTATCCAGGATGAAATGACAAAGATCCATGAGTACATCAGGAAGATGGCAACAACTGATCGTCTGCTTAGTGAATACCTCAGGCAGCAGAAACCCGAGACAGAAGACAAGCAAGTACAAGAACCATCATAGAAAAACATGCCCCTGCATGGTATGTACCACTAGCAGATAGAAAACATAGCTGATATCGAGAAATCCTACCAATGACTGAACAAAGAACAGAGGTGGGACCAAGTCATTGTTTTGCAAGTCTCAAGTAAGTCTCAAGTCTTTATCCTCAAGTCTCAAGTCAAGTCTCAAGTAATGTCAGGCAAGTCAGAGTCGAGTCTCAAGTCACTGGTGTAAAAGTCCGAGTCAAGTCACAAGTCTGAAACTTTGAATTTCAAGTCCTTTCGAGTCTTTAAAAAAAAAACCCGAAAAAATAATGTTGCAGTTATATGCTAAATGTAAATATTAGACCATGTAATTTTAAAATCTGTGTTTTTCTCAACACATGACAAAATAGTGAACTTAGAAAATATACACAAATTGTGAAATTGCACCTCTTTAAAATGCAGCTCAATTAAACCTAGCTCCAAGAATAATTTTCACCGACAGTTCTGAGATAAGCTGCATGTTATTCTTGGATGCGGTTGTAGGACCGGCTTTAAAATCGCATGACAAAAATATCATACACATTAAAAAAACTGTATCACCAACGTAGCCTGGACAACATTTGCTAGTTAGATGAAGTCAGCTATCTCAT